GGGGCAGTCAGTTATTGCTAGTGGCTGTACGGGGCAGTCAGTTATTGCTAATGGCTGTACGGGGCAGTCAGTTATTGCTAATGGCTGTATGGGGGCAGTCAGTTATTGCTAATGGCTGTATGGGGCAGTCAGTTATTGCTACTGGCTGTACGGGGCAGTCAGTTATTGCTAATGGCTCTATGGGGGCAGTCAGTTATTGCTAATGGCTGTACGGGGCAGTCAGTTATTGCTAATGGCTGTATGGGGCAGTCAGTTATTGCTAATGGCTGTATGGGGCAGTCAGTTATTGCTAATGGCTGTATGGGGCAGTCTGTTATTGCTATTGGCTGTATGGGGGCAGTCTGTTATTGCTAATGGCTGTACGGGGCAGTCAGTTATTGCCAATGGCTGTATGGGGCAGTCAGTTATTGCTAATGGCTGTATGGGGCAGTCAGTTATTGCTAATGGCTGTATGGGGCAGTCTGTTATTGCTATTGGCTGTATGGGGGCAGTCTGTTATTGCTAATGGCTGTATGGGGGCAGTCAGTTATTGCTAATGGCTGTACGGGGCAGTCTGTTATTGCTATTGGCTGTATGGGGGCAGTCTGTTATTGCTAATGGCTGTATGGGGCAGTCAGTTATTGCTAATGGCTGTATGGGGCAGTCTGTTATTGCTATTGGCTGTATGGGGGCAGTCTGTTATTGCTAATGGCTGTACGGGGCAGTCAGTTATTGCCAATGGCTGTATGGGGCAGTCAGTTATTGCTAATGGCTGTATGGGGCAGTCAGTTATTGCTAATGGCTGTATGGGGCAGTTAGTTATTGCTAATGGCTGTATGGGGGCAGTCAGTTATTGCTAGTGGCTGTATGGGGCAGTCTGTTATTGCTAATGGCTGTATGGGGCAGTCAGTTATTGCTAATGGCTCTATGGGGCAGTCAGTTATTGCTAATGGCTGTATGGGGTCGCCCTATCCTCCAGTAACGTGACGTCACGGCCCAGAGTTTCGTTTCTCTGTTGATGTCCCGAGATGCGCCACGAGGGGGCGTGGCTTGGTGTGAAACCCGGAAGTTGGCTGCTGGTGGCTGGACGGTAACGGGCAGGTGAGTGGCTGCTGAGACCCACAGGGACACAGTGTGTGTAATGTGACCGCATTCAGTAACTGAGCGAGGTGACCCATAGACACCCGATAGAGTGCGGCTCCGGGTTTATCACAGCTCGGTCACTGTCTGTGTGTGAGCCCTGCCTGGTACAACTTACTGACTGTTAAACCACAATGCTGCCTGTCATATAGGAGAATGACTACTATCTAATCAGTCTAATTAACATATCTAACCTATCTAACATATCTAATTAATATATCTAACCTAATTAATTAACCTATATATCCTATCTAATCTCTGTCGATCTGCCTAATCTCTCTGTCAATCTAATCTAATTAATCTCTCTGTCAATCTATCTATCTTTCATTATATCTATCTGTCAATCTATCTAACCCAGGGCTAAGCAACCTTTTATTACCTACCGCCCACTTTTGTATCTTTGTTGATGGTAAAAATTTCCTTACCGCCCACCGGTGCCGCAGTAACTAATTTTATAGCGCATTTTTATTTTTAGAAAGGAGGGTTTTTATATATATATATATATATGTATCTATTTTTTTCCCCATTTTCTATTCAAATTTTTTTCTACGTGTGTCTGTGAGGTGATGTGTGTGTGTGAAAGGTGCAGTGTGTGAGGGGTTGAGTGTGTGCAAAGGGTGCAGTGTGTTTGTTTTTGTGTAAGAGGTGCAATGTGTGTGTGAGTGGTGCTGTATGCGTGTGAAGAGTGCAGTGTGTGTTTGTGAGGGTGGCAGTATGTGTATTAGAGGTGATGAGTGTGTTTTGAGAGTTACTGTGTATGTGTGAGGAGTGCAGTGTGTGTGTGTGGAGGGCAGTCAGTGTTATTGTGTGAGGGGGCAGTCTGTGTTTGTGTGGGAAGGCTGCATACGCTATATGCTTTGTGTAGGTGGGTGAGATGGGAAAATCTATCTTAATGTCTCCCCTTCATTCTTGACCATACAAACACCCTGATTTACGTGGTTTAGAAAAATGCAGCATGTTGGGTACCATTTTTTAATACATTCCTGAAGTGTAGTTATTACATTAATATATACAATAAACATCATACATGGCCACTTAGACTATACTCGATGGACCCAGAGAGTTCTCCTAAAGCTATTTTGTTCATGACAGTTTGACGTTTTCTATATGTAATGTTTTGTATGTTTATGCATTTATTTCGAACAGTACAGAGTTCGCTGCTGTTCTGCAATATGCTGTTGCATGCAGAGATTTCTGTAGTAGCCACTACCTCAAAAAAAAATCCAATATTGGCCCTTTCATTGAACTGGGTGAAATGATTGTAACTATACGTAACGTACATGTAAAAGCCATGTAACAATATTACATGCCTTATAACCAGGCAGTTAAAGGGACTCTCCAGTGCCAGGAAAATAAATCGTTTTCCTGGCACTGCAGGTCCCCTCTCCCTCCCACCTCCCCTCCCCAGTTGCTGAAGGGGTCAAAACCCCTTCAGTGACTTACCTGAGGCAGCGCCAATGTCCCTCAGCGCTGCTTCTGGGTCCGCCCACGCTCCTCCCTGTCACCACGTCATCCGGCGGGGGGGAGACCTAATGCGCATGCGCGTTAGACCTCTCCATAGGAAAGCATTGAAAATTGAAAATGCTTTCCTATGAGGATTTTAGCGATGCTGGAGGTCCTCTCCCAGCGTTAGGACGTCCAGCGACGCTATAGCACAGAAAACCTGTGCTAGAATCCCAGAAGTGCTCTAGTAGACAGCCACTAGAGGAGGCGTTAACCCTGCAATGTAATTATTGCAGTTTATGAAAACTGCAATAATTATACTTGCAGGGATAAGGGTAGTGGGAGTTGGCACCCAGACCACTCCAATGAGCAGAAGTGGTCTGGGTGCCTGGAGTGTCCCTTTAAGGCAGGGCAATGTATTAGCATTTTTCTAAGTGGGTCAGCAGTAGCACAACGCCTATAGCCTTAAAAAAACTAGGCAAAGCAAATCATTCAAAAAAATGTATTTTATTTTTTTTGGTAAAGGAAGGAGAGAATGTTATGCACAAATATGTACTTCAAATATGTTTTTCCCTTTTAGTTCAAGAACTTTATGAATTGGTAAAATGTCTGAGTTTTCACGTCAGAGAACAATTCTGAATCCAGTAAGTAATATTTTTATATTTATAACCATGTCCGATGCAGACACAAAAAAAATAAATCATATTTTTATTAAAGGGACACTATGGGCACCCAGACCACTTAATCTTATTGAAGTGGACTGGGTGGTGCAGTGTCCCTGTTCCCTTAACTCTGCAAATTAATCATTGCAGTTTTAGAGGGTTGAGACTGCTTCTAGTGGATTATCTACTTGACAGCGACTGGAGGTGCTTCCTGCACTTTGACCCCGTAAACTAATGCTGGACGTCCAGCATAGGAAAGCTTGTTTTCCAATGAGGAAGGCCTAATGTGCACACGGTGCTCGCTGCACATGTGCATTAGGTTCCCAGATCACGCTGACTCTGGGGCCTTTCCAGCGCCCAGGGACATCGGTGCTGGTAGCAGGCAACTGTTTAAAGTTTTTTTTTAACCCTTTACATGGTGGAGGTGGGGGCAGAGGGACACTATAGTGTTAGGTTGAAACATTGTTCAGATTGCTGTGAGGACCTCAATAAATCTGGAGTCCTTTGTCACTTGTTGATGTGTCCTGGACAGTTTCTTTTCTTTTAAAATTCTTTATTTTTGTGTGCAGCATATTACAAACAGACTTGCAAAGCCCCAACAGCCATGTCAAACAGTATATGTCATACAAGTTGTAGCAGTGCTATGGCAAATAGTGTAGATGCACATTTTTTAAGTTATAGAAAACATACTCAGGTACTTAGACAGTCTAAGTTTGACCAACAGTTTGAGAGTACCATAGAAGAAGCAATAGAATAGGTTTGAGCCATAAATTGGGGGCATATGATCCTGCTGTCTGGTGGGCAAATGGTGGTAAACCTTAGGTGGTTAGCTTGGGACTACAGGTCGTGGCCTGTACTATAGTTACACCTCCAGCACTCAGTTGTGAACGGCCTCAGGGGTCTATGGTATCAGAGGGGGGGGAGGGATGGGGTGGGATGGAAGAGCCTGGCTTATGGCCAGGGTAAACATGAGCATATCTGACCTGTGGTTTGGGCAGGTGGACCAATATGAATTTAACGAGAGAAAAAATAAAATGTTCTGAACTAACAAATCTAACCAACTTCGAACTGCACTTAGTGTAAGTCCCATGCAATTTTGGAGTGAGGCTCAGGTCGCCATCTTTGCTTCTCATGTTGTTGCTGCGTATGCTTCTGGTGTCGCATTCTTCGGGATGAAGGGCATGAATGCGCTTGGGTCCCAGCAGTGAGCCGCCGATGTCGTTGCTTGGCTGTTGGGCTGTTGTAGTGAGTCCCCTGGAAGGCTCAGACCAAAATCTTTGGTCAGTTTGGCCAGGAGCACGGGTGCGTCGGAGATATCTGAGATTGAGTGCACCCCATCACTGAGCCGCACTTGTAAGGCTCGTGGAGATAGCCAGCGATATTTGGTGTTTTGGCTTCGAATCAGAGCTGCGAGGGGTTGTAGCGTTTTGCACCATTGCAGCGTCTCACCGGAGAGATCCGCGAAGAAAGAGAGAGCCATGTTCTCACAAAGTTGTATGAGGTAGTCCCTTTTAGAACCGTTTGTACCATTGCCTTGTCTGCTCCTCTGCGGAATTGCACAATTAGGTCTCTAGGTACTAATTCAGGCGCCTTCCTGGGTTTCGGGACCCAGGCATCGAGCGTCTTCCAGGTGGGAAAATCTTTGGTCGGAGGCAGCTTGTCTTTTGGTAAGTGTTTGGATGTCTAGCCTTCTACCGCGCTTATGCGGCCTACCAAGCCCGTGATGTCAGTGCAGAGTAGGGCTACATCCGCCTGTATTGACGTTGGAGAGCTCCAAGCATGGTCTGGAGCAATACTTCTATCACAGGTCTGGAGTCTCCAGTCTTGGGCTTAGTTTGAGGCTGTAACGTCGGCATGTGTCTGCTTATCTCTTCCTCTGGGGACAGTTTGTCCGAGTTGTCCTAGAAATCGTCCAAGTTGTCAGCCATCTTGGGCCCATATGCGGTTGGCGGAGAAGATCTCCTATATTCATGCCCGGCTTGGGTCTTTCAGGTTTTAACGTTTAGTTTTCCTGCCAATGTTTGTTAAGGGCGATGAGACTGCGGTTGTGAGGCTCGAAAACCGGTTAGAATCGCCGGGATTTGGTGTATGTGCCTGGTGCTCATCTATTGTGTATCCGCTCAGGTTAGTAGCTTGACTCCGCCCCGACAGTTATCTTTTTGGATTCAGGACAAAGTAGTAGAGACAGGGAGCAGCGCCAAACTATTCTTAACTTTGTGTTTTAAGTGTTCATTTAGGATGGTATCTGTATGAAAAAGTACTGTACTAATGTTTTACATCTTTAGTGTGGAAGGTAATACAATATTTGATCTCTTATTGTTCTTGTTTTTTTTTTGTGCTCTCTGTGCAGAAAGATTTATTTGTAGGAATTAGTCTTTTTAAAATGTTTTCTAACGCTATTTAATTACTATAGGTTGTCCCTTATTTGGGGACCATTTTTGGAGGCTTGGAATTGGGGCAGATGGTGGTAATTCACGGGACTGTGGCTCCTGATGCAGACAGGTAATTATAAATGGTGAAATTGTTTTAACTAATTATTTACAATTGGCCTAAAATATGTATTTGCTCCGTAAGGGTGCATTTTTTTAAATAAAAAAAAACATGAAAATATATCTGAACACTGGTCAGAGCTATTACAATGGAAAAAAACATCTTGGTGAAAGAGGTTTGTATTAATAGACATATCCGATTCATTGTCCTAAATGTGCTCACAGAAAGGACTTTCTTCTAATTCTTGGATTTCATATATTTAATTTTACAAGAAAATATTTTTTGGGTTGTTACTCATGCAGTAAGAACATATGTATACTGATAAAAAAAAAAAAAGAAATAAATGTAAAAGCCACAAAGGCCTAATTCTGTGTAAGATATGGCTGCCCTTTAGAAGTTTTACATAAATGCCACCCTTTGCCACCTGAAACCGCTATTTCTAGTTAATGTGGTAGAAATGTTCATTTGGACAGTGCATTGGTTAAAGTATTACTCCAAACCCCAAAACCACTTGAGCTCTTTAGGAGTTAACAGAGTATCTCCTTCTTGTGGGTTTATAAAAGCACTACTTTTTAAAAGCTCTCATCCTTTTAGCATCAAAAATAAAATGCAAAGGATTCACTTTCCCAGCTGTTATTGAGACAGCCAGATGGTACTTTTTCTGGTTTCCTTGTTGTGGCAAAACCGACCTTGCCACGTGTCCTTGGAGGGGACTGCTTGCCCGCCTCTTACCTTTAGACTATGGCCCCTGTTCTTTTTCCCTGGTTTGTGCCTTTCTGCGGACTGTTAAAGCCATGCTACCCCAGATAGCTATGCCATGGAGCCCAGCCGTATACTGAAAGACTGTATGAAAGATTTTGGCTCCATGGCGATTGAACTCTATGTATGTGATCTGAGCGCCATCCGGTAATAACGTGCGCTCAGATCTAAGCTATCTGGGGATAGGTAGAATGTCTGTATTTTATGTATAAATGTAACCTTGTGTATTTTATTGTATTTTACTGTCTTTTGTCTGCCATGTGTGTAATGGAGTTTGCCTCTGTCCTTGGAGATAATTGGATTACTTCTCCAATTATCTCCAGGCCAGGGAGGAGGGATTGTGATGCATTGTGGGTTGTAACTGTTATTTGATTGGTTATTTTATACCTCCCTGTGGGCGGTCCTGTATGTGCAAGACTGTAATAAAAACCAGGCTGGGTGTGCCAGCAGTGTTGTTCCTGTGTAACCCTCAAAGTGAAGTGCCGTCTCATTCTTGGGGGGAATTTGACTGTATGCCGATTGCCAGGAGTGTAAGCTGTTCGTAGGGCTTTTCCTGTTCGGCTGCTTCCAGGGTTCGTGTGTCTGCTGTTCGAGAGTTGGTGAATACGTGCAGTTTGGAGTTCGGGAGGTTGGGGATTGCAGTAGCTGCTGGTCTATCTGGAAGGGGATTATCGCCTAAACGGTTTTTATCCCCTTGTGAGCGAAACGGTCCGTTACACTTGTGTTGCTGCAAAGCATGGGTACATGTTGGCAACAACTGTATTAAGCTTCCCCTTGCAGGCAGTGCCTGTAAGGGGAAGAGCTTTTCTCCCACCGAAAAAAAGCGTTTTTTTTTTTTTTTTTATATTTTCCATTTAAATTCCCATCCACTTTCCTGTCTCCCTCTCTGCCCCCTTCTCAATGAAAAGGTGCAATCACAGGCTTCTAATAGAGTGGTCTGCACCATGCTCCTGGCTGATTTCAAGAGGGGAGTAGAAGTCAGCGCTGGGATCATTGTCCTGCGTTGGATCCCAGGTTAGCCAGAATTGTTTTTGCTTTTTTTTCAGTTTGGAGGGCAAATGAATGTGGGGGACCTAATTCATAATGTTCAATAGGGAAATTTACACAGAATACCGTCCCCCCTTAAAAAGCATTGGAGTAACCTTTTAAGGCTTATTTCATTTACAGTATATGTATATCAAAGCTGTTTAAATTGATGTTCCACACAGTGCTTTTGAGTAATATAACACAGTGTTTTGTTTTTTTCAGGTTTCAGATAGACTTTCAGTGTGGCTGCAGTGTCCAGCCCCGGGCAGATATTGCCTTTCATTTCAACCCTCGATTCAAAGGTTCTGGGCACATTGTTTGCAACACCTTGGAGAACGAAAGATGGGGTTGGGAAGAAAGAACAAATCAAATGCCACTTACTAAGGGAAAGCCCTTTGAAGTTCTCATTTTGGTTCTCCCTAGTAAATTCCAGGTAAGCCATAGATCCCATTTTTGTCCTCATTTACTCTGACATTGCAGGTTTTCAGGTCTTTTCTAACGCATGTGTGTCTCTCACTTAGACCCACTTGTGGCAATAAAAAAAAATAGACAATTGAAAACTGGGGACTTTCTGAAATGTTGAGTAGGATTTATAATTTCAAACCAAGCTTATAACTGACTAGACAGAGCTCCCTGCGGCTGCACTTGTTACTGGTGTCCACAGGAAACAGAATGTCATTGTCAGCTTTAGTTCAACTTGCGTCTCCGTGTGTTATGTGGTTGTAAAGTTAATCCTCTTCATCCGGTGCACCTAACCAGGGCACGATTTCCATTTGCCCTTGTAATTTTGCATTATTAAAACCAGTTTACCAGTTTTGAAAAAGTATAAACTGTATCTTTTTATTCTATGAAGCAGTATATGGTCAGTTTTGCACTAATTTCTACTCGATACCTTAGTGGATTAATTACAATCCCCTCTTGTGTAAAGGCCATATCTGTAAAAGGGATTCTTTAAACTGGAATAGAGTGCCCTTTTTTAAAGCAGTACATAAAATATATAAACATGCAAAACATTATAATACAAAGATGCCTTCAAAATCCTTCTAACACAAGATAGAAGTAACTGTCAAACAAGAAGTTAGCTCCATCACTTAGTTTTTTCTAACTTTTGTTTCTTTTACTTGAAACACGTCCTTGGAAAGCAGAGGAGGCAGTAAACTTTTTAATCAAGTGCACAGTCTGTCCACAGTCAGCTGTATTTGTAAAATCCAAAACATGTAACTGTTTGTTCCTGTTTTAACTTAAAGGGACACTATAGTCACCAAAACAACTTTAGCTTAATGAAGCAGTTTTGGTGTATAGATCTTGCCTCTGCAGTCTTGCTGCTCAATTCTCTGCCATTTAGGAGTTAAATCATTTTGTTTAGGCACCCTAGTCACACCCTGCAACACTTCCTAAACACTTCCTGTAAAGAGTAATCTAATATTTATCCTTTATTGTTAATTCTGTCAAATTTAGATTTTCTTATTTCCTGCACTGTTAATAGCTTGCTAGACCTTGCAGGAGCCTCCTGTATGTAAAGTTCAATTTACAGAACAGGAGATAACATCTTTAAAGGTAAGTTACATCTGATTGAAAGTGAAACTATATTTATTTTATTTTTTTACATGCAGGCTGTGTCAGTCAGAGCCATGGGAGGTGTGGCTAGGGCTGCATAATCAGAAAGAAAGTGATTTAACTCCTAAATGGCAGTGAATTGAGCAGTGAAAATTAAGAGGCATGATCCATGTACTAAAACTGCTTCATTAAGCTAAAGTTGTTTTGGTGACTATAGTGTTCCTTTAAACTCTTATTTGGTCAATCTAAGTCTTGACACAAAAAAATAAATCAGAAATATTAATATGAGAGATGCTAGACCCCCAGTTGCCATGTATTGTTCGTTACTGTCCACGATATCTACTTTACTTATTGTTGGTGAGTAATGAGATCAACTGTTAAAATAAATAAAACAATAAAATAAAATAAAACAACCCAAATGCAAACCAAAAACATTTACTTCAAGTTTTTAAATTTGTATTAAATATTCTGTATGTAATATCTGTATTGAACGATAATGTTACCTCTATGTTCTGTTTAGGTCTCTTCAAATGGCAAACACTTGCTTTTCTATAAGCATAGACTGGATTTTAGAAGAATTGATACTATTGGAATACATGGCAAAGTGATGATTGAAATGATTGGCTTTGCCTCTCAAACAGTAAGTTTTGCTATACATTTCCAAATGACTCCAAACATTTCCAAATCTCCCTTTTTCAATTATGTCTGCATGTAGAACCATGTAATCCCTTTTTGTTAAATTCAAACATAATGTATACACCCCATATAGGCATATACCATGACCTGGCAAGTTTGGCAACTGTGCAATTAGGAGAAAGGTGGTGGACAGGAGATGCAGGTGGATGTACCTGGATGTACCTGTTCAACATCACTGTTGAGGTGCCTGCCCTTATATGGTATATGCCTTCCTGGCTGTTAATATGCTTAGTGCTGCTTAAGCACATGCATATGGGCTGAAAGACACTATTATGTATTACTTTTAACCTACACTTTGCTCCACTGCTCCTGTTCACATCTGATTACCTTTTTGTTGTGAGGTCATAAGGACTGTACAGTTGTGTGATCAAATGACTTGATGAATATGTGTACCTCAATATATTGTGAAATTATGTAGCTACAACCAAAGATGTTTATGCACCAAAAAATAAACTGCACTAGTCAATCCCCAGAGCAGAAAAAAAACAGGATGCAAGAGAGCGGACAACAGCTCAAGTAGCTTGCTCTTCGATGGCTACCTGCTTAGATCTCAAGCTGGTTTTAACTCCTCTTGTTATTGTACAGTCAAATATAACAACCAATATATAATTACTACAACACACAAATGATAGAGGCTATAGTTACAAAGCAAAAGATGCATATAACACTCACATAGGGCCTCAAAGGACCGGACACGTGCACCACAAATACCCCCCAATGTTTCTGCACAAACACGTGTGCCTTTCTCAAGTGGCAGTCAAGACTTGACTGTCACTTGAGAAAGACATGGTCCCTTGAGGCTCTATGTGAGTGTACAATAAAGTTATTGATCATTTATTTGGTGTCCATCCTTTTGTATTCAGAGTATTGATTTCTTGGCATTTTTAAGGATGCCTTTTGGGGATAGCACCTTTTTATAATTTAATTGTACAACCTTTACCATTTTTTGATTTATGAAATTTAGCCCATCTTGTGCCATTAAAAAGAGAACCTAGTCAATTTGCATATCCGACTGATGCCAACCAAAATGGCAGTCCAGATCCAATATGCAGAGCGACTCTTTCTGCACAAGAGATACAGCAACCCTAGAGGATAGTTTCAGCCTTATTAAGCCTCGTCAGTGAGGTAAGCATAGTGAGAAAGGGGTCAACATCTGGATTACCCTTTAAACTTAGGGAGAGCAAAAAAAAAACAAAAAAAAAAACAGGGTGCACGAGAATACTGATAATGGACAACAGCTTGCCCTTCGGTGGGTCCCCGCTGAGATTTTAAGCTGGTTTTAGCCCATCTTGTGCCATTAAAA